CCAATTCTACAGATGGGTGATCTGCGGCTCAGAGAGGTGAAGGGACTTGCCTAAGGATGCACAGCCTGTGAGTGATGGTGCCAAGGTCAGCAAATGGACACCTGTAACAACAAGTGGGCTGGGCTCAGAGCCAGGAATGGTCAGGACACATGCGGGGTGAGCCAGAGGTGGAAGGAAGCTCAACTAGCATGAGGAGGCAGGACAAGAATCTGGGAAAGGCAAAACATAATCTGGACTTTGAAGGATCTGTGTGATGTGTGCAGGGAAGGGCTTTCTGGGGGTGGGGGGAAGGGAACAGCATGAGCAAAGGCATAGAGGCAAGTGCATGGGGACCTTTGGAGCGGGGCATCAGCCTGGCATGGGCCTTTGCCAGTGCTTTCTGGGTAATGAGGCCATGTAATCAGTGGGCTGAGGGCACAGCTTCTGTGCCCTAAAAGTGCCCTGAGGCCTGGGATCCTCAGAATTTGCCTGGACAGTCAAGGGGTGGTTGTCCCCTGCCCTCCCCTTGTGTGGTTTTGAGGATTGGGAAGTAAGGTCTGGCAGCCTCAGGCACCAGAGGCAGGACTAGAGGACAAGGAAGAGAAAGCCCCACTCCTCTCAGACCTGCGCTGAGGATCCCGCTGTGGCCTGGGCGGCCGTAGATGGACAGGAAGCCAGCCATTCCTTCCCGTGAGGGGGAGGAGAATGGCCTCTGTGTGAGCCACAACAAAAAGGCTTTTCTGCCAAGTCTGAGGGGGGAGGATGAGGCTGGCTCACCCCCACCCCAGCCTGAAAGAAGGCTCTTTTGGTAGCCTCCTCTCCGAGGCGCAGTCCTGGGGTCTCCTCATGTGGGGAGGGGTAGAAGGAAGTGGGGTCAAGAGGCCACCCCATTCTCCAGCAGCACCACGGTGGAGTGAAGCTATGCTACTGTGTGCCTGTCTGCCTGGGATCTAATCTCAGAGTGGCCATTTCCTAGCTGTGTGACCTTGGCCAAGTCACTTCACCTCTCTGAACTCCACTTTTTTCATCAGTAGAATGTAAACAGGAGCCTTGGTGACACAACGGTTAAGCACTCACTCATCTGTTAAATGAAAGGTTGGTGGTTCAAACCCACCCAACAGCTCTACAGGAGAAAGGCCTGGCGATCTGCTCCCTTAAAGATTACAGCCTAGAAAACCCTATGCGGCAGTTCTACTCTGTCACTTGGGGTCACTATGAGTCAAAATTGGCTTGAAGGGAGCCCTGGTGCAGTAGTGGTTAAGAGCTCAGCTGCTAACCAAAAGGTTGGCAGTTTGAATCCACCAGCTGCTCCTTGGAAACCCTATGGGGCAGTTCTACTATGTCCTATAGGGTCACTATGAGTTGGAATTGACTCGACAGCAACGGGGTTTGGTTTTTTTAAACAACAAAAAGAGCCCTGGTGGCGCAGTGGTTAAGTGTTTAGCTGCTAACCAAAAGACCGTTGGTTTGAACCCACCAGCTGCTCCTCTGGGGAAAGATGTGGCAATCTGCTTCAGTAAAGATCACAGCCTTGGAAATCCTGTGGAGCAGTTCTACTCTGCCCTATAGCGTCGCTATGAGTCAGAATGGACTAGTGGGGTAACAACATAACAATGAAGAATGTAAACGGGGAAGCATGGAGTTGATGGGGGTCATAATCACACATTTAGCATTTGCCAAGTGCCAGGCACTGTCTGCCAGCACCTTACAGTCACCCAGCTCCCCTCATCCTCCCAATAGCCTGTGAGGTAGGTAGGCTCCCCTCCATTTTGTAGATGAGGGAATTGAGGTTGAAGTACTTGCCCAAGGTTAGTCAGTGGCAGTGGCAGAGCTGAAGCCCAGATGTTTTAGACTCTAAAGCTCCAAGCTGTGCAAATGCAGAGAAAAAAAGACTGGAAGGAAACACCAAACTGTCAACACTGGCTGGTAGAATTATGGTGACATGCTTTTCATCTTTTTGTTTATCTGTAATGTCTTACTTTTCCTACTTGGGAATTAGCACCAAAAAAAAAAAAAAAAAAAAAAAAAGATTCTGAGGGATCGGGGGCTGTGAGGGGTCTGAGGTGAATTTAGGTTACAGCCATAATTTTTTCAAACCTATTTCAAGATGCAACTTCCTGTTTAAGAGTGGTGTAGAAGGGTGGGAGGTTAAAGCCCCAGGCTGATTTGGCCTACTCAAGCTGGGGTCTGCTGGGCTCTCTGGGGACGGAGAAGGCAGCGCCAAGCTGCTCTGCCCACCTCTCCTCAGAGACCTCTTTCAGCATATCCTGGCCCCTTGAACCACGTCCCCACAGCCTCTGAGGGAGGAGAAATGGGCTTCCTCAGAAGGGCTGTTCCTTCAGCCACAGGCTTTCTGAGATTGTAACAGAGTTTGGGGGTGGGAAGCTCCTCAGGCAGTTTCCTGAGGAGCTGAGGCCTCTGCCAAGTCACCGCTCTGGCCTTGGCTCTGAGAAAGAGCTCAAGGAGAGAAAGCCTCTCATCCTGTCCCTCCTCCATTGCCCCTCACCTGCCCGATGACCTCTAGGCCAGCCCAGGATTCAGGCAGAAGGCAGGCCTGGGGGTTGGCGGGGGTGGGGCAGGTGCTGGGGCTTCTCCAACAGGAAAGCTGACAAGATGGCATCACCCTGGACCCCCATGCTTACCACAAAGACCCCTGGGTGTGAGGAGCTCACAGGCCATTTCCTAGCTGAGACTGAGAGGCCTTTGGGGCTTCCGAGGGCCAGCATTTCCGAGTCTCCTCAGCCAGGTTTCAACACAAAGAGAGGAAGGGGTGGGATCAAGGGGGACTGGAGCTGGGGAGGGGGTGGGCAGCTGTGGGGCAAGGGTGGGGCCTGGAACAGATTGAAAGACCCTGCCCAAGAAGTTGTGGAGGCTTGGCCTGCCCAGTGGCTGTGGTGGGGTGGGATCCCCAGTCTGGCTGATCACTGCGTGACTGTGGGCCCAGGCCAGTACCAAATAGGCTTGGCCAAGAGGGTAGATGTGGGTCCAAGGCAGATCACCTGGCTCACCAGTCATGCCCAGACCCAAGGGGCACCTCAGTCTCCTGCCCATGCCTGAGGGGGGGCTTTCTGCTTCTTCAAAGATGAAGGGCAGGTCGTGGGTGCCCCCTCACCCTCTGACCAGAGAGCATGGTGAGGGGAACTTGTGGAATCCAAGGTGGCACCGTTCCCATCTCTTTTGTGCCCAGCTCTGGGCTCCTGTCTAGGCCGGGTCTTCAGGCTGCCCAGCAACCAGTCTGGATTGGTGGGAGGGCTGGGTGACCTGGTCTGGCTCTTTCCAACCTCCTACCATGGAGGCTGTGTGGGAATCTGGGTTGCCTCAGTTGATGGCGAACAACTCCTCCACTCCTTCCCTGCCCCACCCCAGCTGGCTGACCCCAGGTCCCGTCTCTCCCTCCTCTGCTCAGCTTAGGATGGTCACCTCTCATCTGCCCCCTAGCCACCTCCAAGGCTCTCCTCCTCATGGGGCCTTATTTCCAAACGCCATTGGGAAGAAGCCCCCACAGAATCAGGTACATAGCCACTTCAGTGTGGAGAGAGTGAGGCCCCTAATCCCAGCCTGGGCTCCACCCTCTGCACCCACTAGCCTCTCCAGCCATGAACGCCAGCCCAGGCTCTTACAAACAAGGCCACATTCGCCGGCTGTACAATTTAATCAGTGCAGATTATTTACAGAACTAAATGGATGGGGGTGGGCACTGAGCCCCCACCACCCCTGGGCTGGCTCTCCGATTCTGCAGTGGTGGGGCGGGAAACTGCTGGACCTGCACTCGAAGCCAGCCCACAAAGCAGCTGCCCTGTGGGAGACACTGGTGGCACCCCCTGTCCCCAAGGGCCTTGGGGATGCTGGGTGCGAATTTGGGACCCAGAAAGCAGAGGGGACAGAGCCGGCTGTACAGTACCGTTTCCCACAGCAACCTTGGCCTTCTGCTGACTTTGGGAAGGAAAAGAGGAAGGAACCATCTTTGCCCTCAGGGGTCAGCCCAAGGAGGGGGTCTCCATGGCCACGACTGGCTCCTTTGGGAGCTCCACAACCTTATCCCAATCTGCATGGGGGTACAAGCTGCTGGCCGTTCCCCACCAGTCTCTCTCCTCCCAGTCCCCCCGGAGGACAGGGAGCTGGAGGGGAGGAACCCCAAGTCTGGTGCATGGTGGGCTGTGGACCTCCACCACCCCAGTCTGGGCACCAGTCACTCCCCCCAATCTCAGGGGGTTAAGACACTGGCAGCTGGAGCCTGATGCTGGTTGAGCTGGGACCCCTGACGACAGGTGTGGGTGGGAACGGGCAGGAGGAAGCCCAGGGAAGAAGCCCAGGTGGGTCAGAGCTCAGAGAAGACAGGGGGCTTGAAGCCAGTCTGGGGGGCTAGGCTGGTGCCACCTCTTGGGGGAGGGGCCTTGGCAGACCCGCTTTGGTCCTTGGTAAGGCAGGCCCAGGGCCCCTTCTCCAGAGAGGGTTGGAGGTGTGGCTCAAGGGATACCTGGGGGTTGCCAGCCCCTCAGCTGGCAGGATAGGGTGGGGTGGGTTTCCTAGGCACAAGGAGCCAGGGTTGCTGGGGCTGTCAAGGTGGGTTGGGAAGGAACCAGGCCTCAACAAGGACTCAGAGGCCAGTGAGTGCTCATCCCATCCCCCTCACCACCTCAGGCCTGGGGCTGCCCCTGGTGAAAAGCTTGTTCTAAGGCGGGGAGAGGCTCAGGTGGGTGGAGACCACGCCAGTCTCCAAAGCAAACTAAGGCCACCATTATGGCCCTGGAGTTCAGGCTGAGGAGGCGCCAGGCCTCCCTCTTCTTCCACACGGGCCTAGGGTGGGAAGAACCTCCACAGCCCTTAGCCCACTCTCCCAACTTGGGCCTTCTGTCCCTTCACTCCTCTGGCTGTGGCCCCCAACCCATAGGCGGGGGCTTCATTCCCTTTCTGGAGCAGAATTACATTTAGAAAACTCTAAATGCTCTGCCCTGAGGGACACAGGGACCACCCCTGCTCAGGAAAGTAAAAACAAATGCTCAATTAATGTGCAAAAAGAAAAAAAAAAAAAAAAAATACCTGGGCATAAATAAACAATGGGGGCAGGGCTGGCGGGGGATGTTTTGAGGGTCCAGAGGAGCTCCTGCTGGGCTACCCGTGGAGCCATGTAGAACCACAGGCTCCGCCATGCCGGGCCCCTAGCACCATGAGGAGCAAGCGGCGGGCGGGGGGGACAGTCAGACCCACTCCTGCAGGGAGCGCTTGCAGTAGAGGAGCATGCGCGGTGCGCCCTTGCGCTGCATCTGCACCAGCGCGTAGGTGAGGCCCAGGATGCAGAGCAGCAGCAGCAGCGGCACCAGCACCATCACGACGTTCACCGTCCGCACCACCTCGTCCATCTGCACCACCACGCGGCTGCCCCCGTCCTCGTCCTCCCCGGTCTCAAAGTCCTCCTCCCCACCGTCTGGGCCAGGCCCCGCCTTCTCCTCGCTGTCACCGCCTGCCCCAGGCTCTGCGCCCCCATCGGGGTTGAAGGGCGGGCGGGCCACGTCAGGCCATCGGGGCCCGGGCTCCACGTGCTCTTGGCAGCCCATGAAGTCCCGCAGGATGGACTTGGGGTAACCGGGCTCCATTCGCAGGCGCTCATTGTCAAACTTCCAGTATTTGGTGCCCTTGTAGAAGTAGGTGTAGGCTGCAGGGGTAAGCCGGGAGGGGAGGGATCAGGCGAGGCCCATCCACCTCCCTCCCCAAAACCCCCCAAGTGGACCAGAATGTGCTGAAGGGGCCCCGACTTTAAAACACCCTCCTTTTCACTTGTCTCTCTGAGCATTTTAAAATTCTCCACTTCCTAATTTACAGGGATCAGGATGAGGCTCAGAGAGGGGCAGGGTTTAGGTCAAGACCAAGACTAGAATCCGGGCTCCCTGGCCACGCAGACAGAGGCTACCATCACAGAAGGTCCAAGCCTCCTGTCCAGTCTGCTGCCTCAGTGGTGAGCCCAGCCCACACCCGTCCCAGGCCTGGCTTTGCCTGATACCAGAGAGGCCAGTGTCTTGCTTGAGGACACACAGCCATCCCACAGCAGACCTGGCGGGGAGCCCGGCCCGGCCTTGGGCAGCGTGCCCACGTTCCATCAACACTGAGGAGGGCCAGGCTGGAATCAAGGCAGGGCGGGGGGATGCCTGTGCTCTGCTGGGCACATGCATTTGGAGCGGCTGCAGGGCGGCATGCTCACACACAGAGCCCGTGGGACAAACTGGAGCACTGGCAAATGAAGGATCGCCCTGAGACTGAGAACCACAGACCCTGCTGGAGAAATGCAACAGAGCCACCGCTACCTGTCGCTGTGTCACAATGTCGAGTAAGATTGGGCCTTCCTTCTAGGCAGGTAGGTGGATACGCTGAAGTCTCCCCCTACCCATCTCTGAGCCAGGCTCATCTACAGGGCTCTCCATCCACCCCCTCAGGCTTAGGGCTCCCTGAGGGCTGCCCAGAGGGTGGCTCGGGACACAGGCTGACCTGGGCTGGAATCCTGGCTCCACTACTTCCTAGTGGCTGTGGGATTTGGGGTAAGTTACTCAAGCTCTCTGGCTTAGTTTGCCCATCTGCAAAATGGGACCATAACTATATAGGCAGGGCCAGGAGAGGCCATGCTCAGGACGCTCCCAGCCCAGAGCCTGACACAGATGTGTCCTTCCTAAGAGCCAGTGCAACACTGGGTGACCTCAGGCAAGCCTTCCTGTCCCCTTGTTGAGTGTGTGTGGGGGGCATGGTAAGTCCTGGGCAAACTGGTACCTGCATCGTTGCTTAGGAAGGCCCCTTTGGGGGAGGCAGGGATCCCCTGCCAAACACTGATGGGCTTGGGGTAGCCAGGGTCTCCATGCTGCGTCTCCTCATTGAAGCGCCAGTACCTGTGACCAAAAGCACGCAGCTGTGGACCGGAGTCCCTGCTTGGGCCCAGTGCCCATTCTCCAGAGGTAGTGGGTTCTTCCTGGGGAGGCCTGAGGATGAGGGGGCCCTGTGGGGGCCTGGTCCCTTTAGGGGGAAGGAGCATGCTGTCTACCTGTCCTCTTGGAAAAAGAAGGTGTGGCCCGTGGGCTCCCACCAGATGGCCGTGTCGATGCGGTCGTAGGGGATGCCCAGCCCATAGCTGGTTAGCGGCTGGGGATAGCCAGGTTCCAGGTTTGCTTCTCGGAAGAGCCAGTAGCGGTCACCTGGGGGGAAAAGCGGAAGATGGTATAAGGACAGATCTGGGGCTGAGGGGTCTGTGTGGGAAGGGGCACAGGGAAAGCTAGTCTGGGCCCACCAATCCATTCTCATCCACTGCCACACTGACCACATACACACACATCCCTGTACACATGACACTGATATCCACACACTCAACGAAGACATTCAAATCAACTCACTTCTGCATCACACACACTTGGTACTCAGAGGCACCTGTGACACACTCATTTACATGCATGCAAGACATCTGCTCACATCTGTTCACACACACATACACACTCAGTCACACTATATCCAGGCCTTTGTTCCCAGGTGAACGTGCTCCCTCCCACTCACAGTTCTTGTACAGAGAAAGAAGAGAGGGAGCCCCACCTGGCCCCTGTATCTGGGGACTGTGTCCCTAGGGCTTCCCACTGTCAGTGTGGGCACAGCCCTGTCCTCAGCATGCTCCTTCCTCAATGAGGCTCAGGCCAGCAGGGCTGGGGACACAGCCGACGGATCAGAAGTGCTGCCCGCAAGGCCTTCCCCAGGGAGGCAGGGTGGGTAGTAGGGGACTCTGTGGTCTCTGTCCCAGAGTGGGATCAGAAGACCTATTTTCATGAGGAGGGGGCTGCTGGGGAAGCCAGGATAAGGTGGAAACAGGAGGCCCAAGTGTCAAGGGTGGAGGGAAATGAGGCAGGGCCCCTGGGCTCAGAAGAGGGACAGACATGTGCCCCATCAGAGCAGCCTCTGGCCTCTGGGGTCCCAGGTGGTCCCCAGCCCCCTGGTCTCTCCAGTCCTGTGTAGCCCACAGTGGGGGGACAGGAGCCAGCAGGCATCTAAGACATGCACTGCAGCCTTCCTCCATCAGGCCAGCTAGTCAGAGGGCAGGCCAGAGGGCGGGCCAGGAAGGCTGCCCACCCCTGCCCCAGCTTACCCTTGAAGAAGACAAAACGCCCATCCTGGCGCTCATAGGCAGCACTGATGTCACCAGGCAGGCCACGCCAGAAGTGCCCGATGGGCATGGGGTAGTTGTCCAGGACACGGTTGTGCCGGACCCGCCAGAACCAGCGGCCCTGTGGAGAGGCTTGGTGTGAGTGGGCAGGGCCGTCCTCAACCAGCCCCTTCCCACTCAGGGAGGGCCCACGGAGGCCACTGAGGTGCTGAGGGAGGGGCTTGGAGAGCCAGGGCTGCACCAGGGAGGGCCAGGCCAGGGAGAGGCACCGGGGCTTGCAGTGGGACTCTGGGCCAGCCCCTCGTCCTCTTGGGCAGGGCAAGGCTTCGAGAGGGTTGGTGGGTGGTTTCCCGCCTGAGCTGGGCCGAGGGGCTAGGGAGGCAGGAGGAGGAGCCAGGGCCAGACCTTGAACACGAACATCTCCCCACGCAGCACGGCAACCGTGTCAAAGTCCCCGTCACAGATGTTGGGGCCGTACTGGTCTGGCCGCTCCGTAGCTCGGGGCTGGACAGGGGGAGCTGGCTTTGGGGGCCGGTCTGGCTTCCCTCCTGGGGGTGGGGGCCGAGGGGGCCGGTGGTCTGGCCGGCCTGGCCGCCGGGGTGTCACAGTGGGGAGGGGCTGGGTGGGCTGTGGCTGACCATCTGGGGTGCCTGTGGGTGAAAGCAGGAGGTGAGGGGGCAGCCCCGGAACCTGGCCAGGTTCTCCTACACAGAACCCTGGTACCCAGGGGGCCACCAACCTGGAGAGACCTGTGTAGCTGCACCCAGGTGAGAGGCCCTGTCTGTCCACAGGCACCTCCCCCTTCTGCCATCATCCTCAGGAGGACTGGATCCTCTTTCATACAGCCCCCTCCCACCTCCCCACACTGGGCTTGGGTCACTGCACCCCTGAGGCTGCCCTGCCTCCACTTCCCTTTGGGGACATTCCCCTCAGGAGGCTCCAGGAAGCAGGGGACATGCAGTGCACAGAGCACGGCTCCGGCAGCTGACACCTTGAACTCTGCCAGGTGCCCATTCATCACTGGGCTGCTGGGAGATGCACTGAGGGGGGCGTCTGTCCAGGCGCAGCCAGGCAGGTGCTGCCAGCACAGAGGAGGGGCCCAGCAAGGGCATGCGACTGCCCCCCAGAGCCCTCAATGCTGGAGGCTTTCTCGGGTGGGGCCTGGGTGGGGTTCACCTGCCCCAAAGCCACTGGGAAATGATAAAGCAACAACACTCAGCCAAGAGCCCATGACAGGTGTGGGCTGGGAGAGACACAGAGAGAAGATGGGGTCCTGGGACCCCTGGGACACCCTTGGTCTAATAAGAATATCGCTGAGGAGGAAAAGAGGGTCCCACATGTCCCCTCGAGGGCTTCTCCCGGGAGCTACGGTCAGGGCTCTGGGTGAGGGCCAGGCCCTAGAGTTGGCCTGGGCTTGATTTCCAGCACCACCATCTACTCACCGTGTGATGTGGGCAAGTCTGGGCCTCAGTTTCCTCATCTACAAAATGGGATAGTGACAGTACCTATGCCGTGTAAGGCTGGGAGGGGATTAGCTGGGAGCAGCGTGCAAAGCTCGCTGGCCATGGCTGTGCCGCCCCCTCACCATAGAGCTGCTGGATGCCCCGGAGGTCGTCCTCGGGCAGCTGGAAGTTGTCTGTGTCCATCCACTGGTAGAAAGGCGCCATGATGGCGCTAGGATTGCTCGAGTGCTCCAGCCCCAATGCGTGGCCCAGCTCATGCACTGCCACCAGGAAGAGGCTGTTCCCTGCAGAGGGGGCAGTCAGCATGGTCAGCTCTGGCCCATCCTGGGGACCTGGCCACCCCAAAGACCCTCCAGGCTAAGGCTGCCAGAGAGCCTGCCCTTGCTTCACTCTTGGAAGTGGCTGAGCTGCTCTCACTTCTGGGCCTCAATTTCCCCATCTGATAAATGGGTACAATGATCCTTTCCCTTTTCTACCGCCCCCTGCAGATTGTGGGAGAACAGACTGAAGCCCAGTGTCAGTGCTCCAGAGAATCGCACAGGGCAAGCTCTCCTCTCCCAGCCCTGCGGTTGCTGAAGCCGCCCAGCTCCAGTGCTGCCTCCCCTGTCCCTGCCCCTGCCCTGGCCAGCTGTCCTCACCATGCAGGTCAGTGCTGGAGAAGGTCCAGGGCTCATCTGCATCGAAATGGGTGTCCCCGCCCAGGCCGGGGCCGGGGAAATAGGCATGTGCCAGAAAGCCGCCCGTGCCATCAAATGGTGAGCTGTCGCCATGGAAGCCGGAGGCAAAGAGTACCATGATGTCGGCCTCCTTCTGCCGCCGCAGCCGGATGTCCTCATAGGGCACCTCCTGGAAGAGCAGGGGCGTGGCCTGCTCCCACACACGGAAGGCCCTGCGCACTGCCTCCAGTGAGTGGTACCAGCCCAGCTTCTCTGTGTAGTTCTGGATGCTGCAGGTGGATGGGGAGACATGTGAGTGAGCCAGGGCCTGGGGACTACCGTCCAGGGCCACGGCATCCACTGGGCTGGGGACAAGGGACACAACGTTCCCAAGGAGAGTGCACGTAAGATATGAGGTGATGCATGGACAAACCAGTTGCCATCATGTTGACTCCAACTCATGGCAACCCCGTGTGTGTCAGAGTAGAACTGTGCTCCATAGGGTTTTCAATGGCTGTGACCTTTCGGAAGTGGATCACCAGGCCTTTCTTCTGAGTTGCCTCTGGGTGGACTTGAACTGCCAACCTTTTGGTTAGTAGCTGAGCACCTAACTGTTTGCACCACCAAGGTGGCCTGCTGCATGAACAACGCCCATCAATATCAACTGTTAGTGACTTAGATGTGATTTTGAAAAACAGAACAAGCATGTCAAACAGTTCATTCAGATGTCACTAAATAAGATTGTACTGTGGCAAATGCACCCATTTTAAGAAAGATGTTAAGTAAATAAAAGTACAGGTGATTATGTGGCCTAGGGAAAGTTCTAGAAAGTGGGATGCAAAAGGCTGAGGTTTGGGAAACACAGGCCAAGCAGTTCTAAGTGTTGGGTTTCAGGGTGAGGCAGGCCTGAGTTCAAGTCCTGGTTCTAACATTATCTGTGTGACCTTGGGCAAGTGACTTGACTCTGAACTCCAGCTTCTTCATCTGTAAAATGGAGGAAAGGTAGGGAGTGCTTTCTTCATGGAGTCCCCGGGAGGACTAAATGAAATCACTCATGTAGAACACGAGGCACAGAGCCTGGCACATGGCAACAGTGAGATGAGTTATTATCCATGTTAATAACATTAAGCTTCTGTGCACTGGGCAGATTTCCATTAACTGTGATGGGCATGTTTTGGCTGGTTGAACCATTAATTCACTCTGGGGCCTGAAGTCTAAGTGACTGCTGGAGCTGCTTTTCCTTGGGGAGATGTAGCTCCGGATAGAGCCGTCGTCGTTGTCTTCTCATGGCTGGACAAGGGGGGAGGGGGAAGGGGGAGGGAGGAGGATCTCTTGCCCAAGGACTCAGCAGAATGGAGAAGGGTGCCTGAAACCAGGGTTTTTGCAGGTAATAGCTGTCTGCCCACCTGGCGGATGCCTGGATACTTATAGCCCTCCCTCCAGTCCTTCGCAAATGCCTGAAGCCAGGAGTCCCTGGGTTGCGCAAATGGTTAAGAGCTCGACTATGCTCAACCCCGAAAGGCTGGTGGTTTGAAGCTACCCAGAGGTACCTCAGAAGACAGGCCTGGCAATCTGCTTCCAAAAGGTCACAGCCTTGAAAACCCTATGCAGCAGTTCTACCCTGCACACAGGGGGTCACCGTGAATCAAAATCAGCTCAACAGCAACTACAACGTAACAACTATGCCTTAAACTGTGCTTTAAAAAAATGCCTGAAGCCCCTTCCCCTGTACCGCGAGGACAGCGCAGAACTCCATCCTGCCTAGAGGAGCCCAGCCGCGGGCTGCTGGGGGTAGGGATGGGCAGAGAGGAAGCCTCTAGAAGGCTCCCCGACCTTCTCCAGAGGGAGAGACTGCGTAGGGTGAGGGGCCGACTTCCTTAGTGTGGGAGCTCCGCTGGCCACCCTGGGGTGCGCTGCTGGGAAAGGAAGCCTTCCAGACAACATGGCTGGGAGCTGGAGCCTCAGCCCAGCTGGGGAGGGGGTGGGAGGCTCTGGGGATGCCCCACCCTGGGCAGCTGGGCCCCTACCTGAAGGTCAGGTGGTGGGTGTTCCACTTCCTCCCGGTGAGGGCATAGCGCTTCCGCCGCCGCCGCAGGTTGGCCTTCACACGCACCCCAAACTGGTCCGGCACCCCACAGCGAGGCCGCTTCATCCACCTGGGTCACGGGCATGGGGGGCTGAGCAGAGAGCCTCCCCTCGACACCCTTGCCCACTTTGGCTCTGCCTCTTCCAGGTAGTCCCCTTTCTACTCCCCACCTGACCCTGCCTCTGGCCTTGGAGCTCCCCTCATATGGGTGTGGTGGGGAAACTTGCTAAGCTTAGACTTCCTCATCTGTAAAATGGATACAGCAATTCCATACTGGGAGATGAAGTGTCCAGCAGTGGCTCAGTAAAGGTGAGGTCCTTCTCACAGTATTATCCAGGAATAGGGATTTTTCCTGAGGTTTCAGGTCCTTGATACATTATACTCTGTGAGTCCTTATTAAGGATGTGAGGAGTCCCATCACCTGTTAGATTCAGAACAAGCTTGGCTAGGCTGTCCCGCCAGGACACGCATGCTGCACCTCCCCACTGCCGTGACTATGACAGACGTTACTAATCAATCACTGTGCTCTTTCCTGCCACGACTGGATTCTGCCTTGGGAGCTTTCTCCTAAGGCTGCAGGCAGCCACTACCAATCAATCAGCATTGGCACAGAGGACCAAACCATTTGCTCTCTATTATCTAGGCCATTCTTTTGTGGGATTTCCATATGCCAAGCCCAGGGCAGGTGCCAGTGGGGTCCTGGAGGGGCCTGATGGCAGGACTCACGCCTTGGTCTCTTCATCAAGCACGCCGGTGACAGGGATCCCATAGAAGCGCTGCATCTCAGCAAGGGCTGAGGCCAGGATCTGGGCGGAGCGCATGGTAGACATGTGGCGGCTGGGCTGTGGTAAGTAGCCATAGAGCCGCAGCCAGTTCTGCAAAGGAGAAGCCGCAACTCAGTGTTGGCAAGACCTGATACCTCCCAACGTACAGTCTGCATTGGACCATTTCTCACCGCCTCCAGCACCATCACCCTCTCCGAACTGCATGACCACATGGGCCTCTCAACTGCTCTGCTTGTTTCCACCACCCCTAGAGGCTACTTTCACACAAGAACCAGAACAAAGGGCCTTTAAAGTCCGATCTGGTCAGTCTGCTGCTTAGAACCCTCCAATGGCTTCCCATCTCAGAGTAAAAGCCAACTCTTACAGGAGCTACAGGGCCCTCATCATCTGACCTCACTCCTTCCATCCAGCCCCAGTCAGGCACACTCCTGCCTCAGGGCCTTTGCACTTGCTGTTCTTGCTGCCTGGAGTGCTCTCCCACAGACATATGTATGGCTCCTGCCCTCATCTGCTTCAGCTCTTTGCTTCAACCTCATCTTATCTAAGAGGCTTTCTCTTGACAACTATGTTTAAAAAAAAAAAAAAAAAAAAAAAAGGCCCCTCCTGGCTACCCTGCACTCCCTCTCTCTTTCCCTGAACTTATCACCTGCTGCACCTGGGTGGTATAAACGGTTTGCCGCTAACCAAAAGGTCGGCGGTTCAAACCCACCCAGTGATACTGTGGAAGAAAGCCCTGACCATCTGCTTCTGTAAAAGATTATGGTCAAGAAAACCCTATGGAGCAGTTCTACTCTGTCACATGGGGTCGTCATGAATTGGAATCAACTCGACAGCAATGTTTTTGTTTTAAATTTTTTTATTATGGGGGCATTGGCTGTTCAGTGGTAGAATTCTCACCTTCCATGCAGGAGATATGGGTTCAGTTCCTGGCCAATGCACCTCATGTACAGCCACCACCCATCTGTCACAGGTTTCAGCAGAACTTCCAGACTCAGACAGACTAGAAAGAAAGGCTTGGCGATCTACTTCTGAAAATCAGCCCATGAAAACCCTGTGGATCACAACGGTCTGATCTTCGACCAATCAAGAGAATGAGGCAGGAGCGGGCAGTGTTTTGTTCTACTGTGCGTGGGGTTGCCATGAGTTGGGGGCCGACTCCACAGCAGCTAACAACATTTCACTATTGTTTGTTTGCCCCCATTAGAACAAAAGCCGTCTCCACCAGGGTGGTGCAGAGTCGCTGTGCTTATTACTGCACTGGCTTCTCAGGGTGGGCCACCTACTGCTCCAATCAGACTGCTGGGGACCCCAGAGGGACACCAGAGGGCTCAGAGCCTCTTGAGGCCCCATCGAGTAGGAAAATCAGCCCCTTGGTGCTGCTCCCCCATGGGCTGTAAGCCCCCAGGAAGGAGAACAGACTGATTCGGGCAGCCCAGCCCAAGAGCGTGGGACGGGAGGCATGAAGTCCAGTCCCTGCTCTGCCACAAACGCATTCCCCTCTTAGAGCCTCAATTGCCTCATCTGGGAAGTTTGCGGGGGGTGGCGTGGGGGTGATGGTGGTGATTGAGGGAGCTAGCCTTAGGGAAAGCACCACAATGAGTGTGCTGTCCCCTTCCAGAGCTTGATGGACAAGTCTTCCCACCCACCCACCCGTACGTCCATCCATCCACACACCCACCCATCCACACACCCACCCATCCATCCTGCCAAATCTTTTCTGAGCACCCTCTGTGCCAGACACCATGCCAGCTGGTATTGCGGGGACCATGCTGAGGCATCTTGACCTCCAAGGACTTACAGCCTCCCTGGGGAGAGCCTGTGTACCCACAGTGTGGAATTCACACATTGTGAGTCTGTGAGCTGACATGACTTGTGATCACAGCAGAGGGTGGGATTCTTCTCAGGGCTCCAACAAGCCACGTGGAGCCGTGGTATGAAAGGGCACTCTGCCCTGCCCACCTCACACCCTCAAGGCCACGAGAGCATGGTGACGACTGGGTGGGAGGCTGGTGAGCACGGGCCAGGAGCTGCTGTGGGCCTTGGCCATGTTGAAGTGTGTCCTTTGAACCTTTCCTTGCTGACCCTGGGTCTCTGGGGGCTTACTCTAAGGGGCCCCAGAATGCCAAGGCTGCATACCAAGGGTCCACAAGCCAGGACAATGGAAGGACATGGTGGCTGCTCTGGTTGGCCGGCCATGGCCACATATCTATCTGCCACCAACATCACATCCAACTCCTTGCGTACCTGCTCCATCAGTGCCATCCGAGAGCCCAGCCCTGGCACCCAGCCAGACCCCCAGTGTGGCCAGCCAAGCCTGCAGCGCCCAGGCTGCTGATGCAGGGAGCAGCTGCTGAGCCAAGGAGGGCAGGGCAGAGAAACTGCCAGATTGGAGCCCGATGCCCAGTCACAGCTGTCAGGCCTCTCGGGACACTGGGAAACAGCCACAGCACAATGAGGCAGAGACACGGAGCTGAGAAACAACCATCAGCTCTGGTGACAGACAGGGCTGGGGACAAATCTCAGGCCAGCCATTTCCAAGGTTTGACTGCAGGCACAGCCAGCCTCCCTGTGCCTCAGTCCATCATCAGCACAACGGGGCTGTGTTAGGACCTGCCTTCTCTCACGGGCTTCTGTGAGGATTACATGGGAAAATCCACACTAGCTTGGCACTGCTGTGCAGGGAAAAACCCAAAACCAGACCTGCTGCCATTGAGTCAACTCCAACTCATGGTGACCCCACGTGTTACAGAGTAGAAGTGCTCCATAGGGTTTTCTTGGCTGTAATCTTTACTGAAGCAGATTGCCAGGCCTTTCTTCCACAGTGCCGCTGGGTGGGTTCAAACCACCAATCTTTAGGTTAGCAGTCGAGCACAAACCATTTGCACCACCCAGGGAGCTTTGGGCAGGAAAAGTGCCCAATAAATGTATTATTAATGATGACTTTGGTGAGGAAGGCAGACAGAGATAGGGACTTGCTGTCCCAGGACAGGCAGCTTTTGCCTCTACCAGCAGGGGTGCAGGGCCCAGGCTTCACACCACTAGCAACTGGCCAGGTCCAGCAGGACCTGAGTGCTGACAGCCTCAGGTGAGGCCAGGGCCCATGGCTCCCTCACCAACCCTCCCAACCTCTCTGGCCCAGGCCTCCTTCCCTCAGCTCCTTGATGCCAGCAACATCATGGGGACTTTCCATGTTCTTCCCAGGAAGGGAAACCTCGCCACTGAAGCCCCTGTGGGTGTTGGGTATGGGGGGGGGGGTCTACTGAAGGGGGTTGGGAGTCCATCACCCTTCACGGAAACGGTTTTCCTAAAGCCGCTTGGAGAGACCCAGAAGGTGAGGCCATGATGCTTAGCCAGCTCCAACAGGCAAAAGGAATCCAGCGGTG